GCTCCTCCTCCACCTTCTCCATCTTCGCAATGGCGTTGTCGATCATCTGCGTGAAGCTCACCACGCGCGTCTTGTTGCGGTTCTGCTTCAAGTCCTGCAGCACCTTCTTCACACCAATGATGTCCATGAACTGCGCCTTGTCCTCCGGACGGTACAGTTCACGCTGGCTCATCTCGAGGCCGCACACGCGCATCAGCTTCGCCAAGTCGTAGGCCTCCGTCAGGTTCCACTTTGTGCCGACGTCGACGGCCGCGACAAGTTCCTCCGCCTTCAGGTGGGCACCGCGCAGCTTCTGCCGCTGCGTCTCGGACCAGTCCGAAACGTGCAGCTCCTGGATCAGCTCCTCGTTTTCAAGGCATGCCGTCTTCAGCTTCAGGTTGTGAATCTTCTGCTTGCGGGCAGCCTCCAGGCCAGTCACTTCTTCGGCAGACATGGCGTTCTCACGTGTACTTGTGGGTGTGGGAAGTTTAAGCGTTAACCTTGCATTTTATGGTGACAGTCATAGGCAAAAAAAGGGAAAAAATGAATAAGCAGTAGTATCAGTTGAAGTCTCTCACGATTTGTCACTACTTTTACGTCTTGCTTGCTGCCGCCGCTGTGCGTTGCTGCGTGGCTTAAATGCATACTTCGTGTGGAGTGAAGAGGAAGTAACGCGAACTGAATTACGTTGTTGAATTTATTGGTGCTGCCCACTAGAGTGACTTATCCGTGTAGACGGCCCAGCGGCCGCCGGTCTTGGAGTAGTGGTCCATGGGGTACGCCGTGTCGTCCCATGTCACACCTGCAAGTGCTACTTCCGCCTCGTAGGGTGAGAGCAGCGGCTTGTCGAAGGCGTATCCCCAGTCGATGGAGAGACGAGGACAGGCAACTTGAATGTAGCAGTCGACGTCCTGCAGCCTGGAGAGCTTCTCGGGAAACACCTCCGACATGAGGAGGAGGTTGACGGTCTTGCCTTGTCGCGCGGCCAGCTGCACGATACGGTCGACAATGCGTGGGTTGCCTTGACGACCAAGTGTTCCCATGATAAGGGCGAAGCTGTGGGCCGCCATGCCTCTTTGAACTGCCTCCTTCCGCAAGGTGCGCATCTCGGCGGTGTTGTAGCTCTCCTTAGTCAGCGTCTTCTGGTAGGGGTCGTACTGCAGTGCGTTGAGCGTCGGGTGGGCGATGAGAAACGACTCCAGGTGGAACCTCCCATCCCCCACGTAGAGCACCACGTCCACCGTCGCCGGGTCCACCACGGGGCTCGTGCAGCCAAGAATCTCGCCGCTTGAGAGGGGGCGGTTCTGCGGGACGACCACGGGGTGTTGGAAGTGGTCCCGCAGCATCTGCATCCCCGCCCGCATCGAGGAGACGAACTGGATGGTGGCGATGCAGGCCAAACGCGTCTCGGGAGAAACGAGACGCCGCACGGTTTCCACGAAGTGTTGAACGTCAATCTCGATCTCCACGAAGACGTACATCATGCTGCTGATGAGGCAGTCCTTGATTGAAACGAGGCAGCTGTGGCCGTAGTGAATCAGGAAGTCACAGCCCAGCGCCACCGCCGAGTAGTCGTCCACGCAGCAGGCACCATACGTAACATCCCCTAATATCACCATCTCGGCCCCCGTTTTCGCCTCCAGTATGTCGGCAATGGGAGCCGCAAACATAAGGAGCCCCTCAGGAAACTGAAGCGCCACGCGTGTTGCATTCCGCTCCTTGATGCGCTTCACGCACTTGTCAATTTCAAACCTGTAGTTGCTGGGGAGCCCCAATTCCGCCTCCGAGGGGTCCATTACTGCGCGGACAGAAGCATACAGGTATATCTATTCATGAAGGCATGCGTGCATGCATGAGTAGAAAACAAGGGGAGAGAGGGAAAGATAAGGACACTTCGAAGCCTCTTCACCACAATGTGTGCCGGGAACTTTGTTCCGCATTTATTTTTGGTTTTTACGTATTTATTTTTTGCTGTCGTTTTTATTGCTTATTCTGTTGTGAGGTTCCACAAACGACGGGATGCTTAACCACACTCACAGTGCAGCCAGCAATGGCTGCCGCATTAGAGTGGAGGACAAGGAGCGATAAAAAGAAACAGAAAAAACAAACATATATACATATACATGCATGTATATATATATATATGCTTTTTTCATGATGTGATTAACGAGGCACAAAGGAGACAAAACAACAACAACAACAACAACAACAACACGCACACGAAACAGCTTTCATGGGCCAAGTCACGTCACGTTGAGCCGCCTGCGCACGTGTCCACTGCCACTCTGCAGACGGTAGAGGTCAGGCTCGGGCACCTCCACGCACAGGCAGTGGGCGACGTATTCCAGCTTGTGAACTGGCAGGCGGGCGGCGACAGCGTCTAGCTGCGATGGCTCCCACACGTCTTCGTCCGAGAGAACGAGATTCAGTTCCCTCAGCGCCTCGGCATTGCTCCTCAGCGTGCTCAGCAGCTGGGGAGGAGAGTATGGGCGAACCACGCAACAACCTCCACTCCGCAGAACACGAGCAAAACTCTCCGTCCGCGACTCCGTTGTACAACAGAGGGCGACACGCCAAGAGGCGAACGAGCGCACAGTCCGCTTCCTTTGCAAGCGACACGCTCTGACAAGTTCCACCACAGAGCTGCGAAGCAGCGCAGCCCTGGCAATCTCCGGGCACCACTCGTGTGCTTCCTCACTTACAATGCGGCCCTCACGCAGTGTCTCTTCGAGGAAAGACGGCGCAAGAACCCATTTTCCAGCAGCGACAGTAGAGAGAAAAAACTCCGTCCTCGACGGTTTCCCGGTGACATAGTGAGTGCACTCCTCCAGTGTTGTTGCGAGGGTGCATCCCAAGGCCTGTAAGCGCTCAAAGTTTTCCTCCAGGTGTGTCAGCGACTTGGCCAACATAATACAGCAGAGTCGCCCCGAGGAGCCGCTTGGGGTTTCTGCACTCACATACACCGCGCCCTCTGCCGCCGAGGGAGCCCCAACATCACGGGTCCTCTCTCTGCCTGGTAGCACGCAATGCTGCTGCTGCCGCGTCACCTTTCTCTGGCGGTCGAATTCGGACCTGTTGTACACAATAACCTGAGACTCCGCCGGAAGCACGGTGCGTTTTCCGTGAAGGCGGAATGGTGCCGTTGAAGGGCTGAGGCGCGCCCCTGCGCCTGGGTGCCTCTCCGTCCCCTCCTGCGACAGCAACTTTGTTGGCGGCAAGGTGGCAGCGGCCGCAACGGGGGGCGCCGCTGGCGCTCGGCCCCGGTCGCTGGCTTTCGCCTCCAGCCCTTCAATGAGCGACGCAAGGGAGTGCGACGACAGCGTCTCGTCCTGTGGTTCAGCTACGGAGGGGCACTGCAGTAACGCCCTCTTACTGCAGGTAAAACCCCCAACCATGCCGCTGTCGTCCTCCGCGGCGGCGGAACTTGCAGGCATCTTTCTCCTCGCCCTCCGAAATGCGGAGACGTGTGGCACCACCAGGGAGAACTGGGCGGGGTCGACCCAGCCTCCGACCTCCAGCGAGCGATGCAGCCACCCCACGTGCACCAGGAAACACTCCTTCCGCCGCAGCAGGTGCATCCGAAAACTGAGTGCGGCAACCTTGGGGGAACGAAGCAGCGCCGATCGCCCAACCACAAGGTGGGTGGTGTTGCGCTGGCCACTGCCGCCATCGGCCACGCCGCCGCCCAGCACAAAATCTCCCTGCACAATATAAGTCAACCCCTTTTCTTCCAAAGCAGCGCTGATTGTCATCCGTTCTTCCCGCGGCACCCCTGTAAAGGTGATGATTGGCCGCAAAAGAATGGGCATTCTGTACGGTGCTACATCCACGTGTTTGCGCCGTGTAGCACACTCCTCTAACCAAGCAACCGACACAAACTCCAAGTTGGGGCGTGGAGCGAACACCTCCTCCGTCTGGCCCAACACTAACACATGCGTTGTGCAAGACGTTAGCACCGGTGTGTGCCGCACACCGACCTCGTTAAGAAGCGAACTAATCCTCTCAGTAATAAGAAGTGCAGGGGAACAATAAACCACAACTTCCGACGCACTACTTCCAAACGATGAGGGTTGACGTGCACCAGGCACCAGGTGGGAGTGCAACTCAACCGCAAAGCCGTATCGTTCTTTAAATCCATCAAATGACACGACTTCGATATGGTTTTTGTTTGCAAAGCGGAGCTTCTCACTTCCACTTGCAACGAAGTTCCCATTTGGCACCACCAACATTGCACAGCCTCGCGTCAAGGATGGCTCGTACGCTGCCTGATGCCTCGCGCACACCCGACGCACAAAGCCGCGTTCCTCCGACGACAGCGAGGTGCTGCAAAGTTCCAGCCCACGCAGGGACCGCCCCAGCTGAAACTCCCTCACTCTGCCTCTATCACAGCGGCCCAGCCTGACCCAGGCTGATGTGACGCAAGGAATTCCGCGTTCCCGTGCCACGCGATACTTGTCGCCCTCGCTCCTCCCGGCGATGAGCACGTTAGTTGCCGTGGTCAGCTCCGCAGCGTAGGCCACGCCGTGTTGGTGAAGGTCTGTCTTTATGCGCTCCAGTTCCCCCCCATAAATGGCCGTTGTCGTCACGAGCATCCTCCTCGGTAACGGAAAACGAACAACAGCAGCAAAAACAGCAGCGCCACCCGGCGGGACGATACGCTTAAGCGGCCATGGGAAGTTTAACCAAAGGAGAGGGAGGAAGTAAGGCAAAAAAAAAAGAGCTCAAGAGAAGAGGGGGAAAAAAAAAACTAGTCTTTGCGCCTTTCGTAGGAGCACGTGTTGTTGCTTAGCACACACCGCAGCAACATTTGCTCCAGTCCAAGAGCAAGCAGGGGACGCAACATACGGCATAACGAAAAAAAAAATAATATGCGGCTCGCAGAAAAGAAAAGTAACAGGGCAAGAAACACGGATTTTAGTAGAAGAAGCCGAGGACCTTTCCACCAGTGTTGCGGGCACGCGCCTCCTCGTGGTCCATTATGCCAAGCGACGTCGTGAGCACCACAAAGCCGAACTGACGGCTGGGGAGGATGTTCTTCACCCACTTTTCAAAGTCGGGGACGGTGCAGTCGAAGCGGGGGCAGATGGCACCGCACTTGTTGAGGCGGCCGTTGAGATTCACCACAATTTTACCCGCACGATGGTCGTCGATGATCTCAAACTCGCCAATGTAGCCGTGCTTCTGCATCACCTGCAGGAACTTCACGACGACCTTGGACGATGGGCGAATGAGAACCTGACGCTTGCCGCGGCGCTCCGCGCTCGCAATGCTGCGAAGCGCGTTGGCCAACACGCTCATCATCGTCATCCTGTTGGCACGCTCTGTTCCTTGACTGCCCGTTGGCAATGCACGCAGTACAAAAGTGGCACGAGAGCAGGAATAAACGCAGAGAAATCGAGAAGGAAGGAAATGCAAGCAAAGCCTCGGCGCGCCGCGAGGAATGAGCATTTCGCTTTTTTTTCAGTTAACAGCAACAGCACAAA